TTATAAAAAAATAAGAGAATAAATTAAAAACAGGTATGAAATACTATATGACATTAAAAAAAGAATAACGTTAAAAAGGGAGTGATTTGTAAAATATCCATAAAGAAAAAGTAAATCTGTTTACAGTTCTGTTTCAAATGGGTGTTGAGAGATGTATCCATAGATCTCTTCATGTTGCTCTCAAAGTGCACCAGATTGATGCTTTTAACTTCAATATTTAAAAATCTTCCCAGGGGAGCTTGCCCCCTGACCCCCCTATGTGAGGTCCACACACCACCTATAAAAATAACACTTTACCCCTGCTTACACCTATATGCCGTGAGCTGATTATCGAGCCTTCATTGTAACAGTCGCGGGTACACTGTGTGTGTGTGTGTGGGGATTGTTGCAGTAGAACATTCCACTGTAGCGACCAGTGCATTAATGGGAAACCCTAAATGTTTGAGCACCCTCTATGAAACGTCAAGCTACCCCACAGCACCCCCAAAATAGAATCTCTGGCGCCGCCACTGAGCCTGACTATTTGTGTTGGGGGGGCCCGACTTTTTTTTTTCTCCAAAGGGGGGGCCTGACAGAAAAAGTTTGAGAACCACTGCTTTAACCTGTTAAGCCCTGAGCCTGTTTTTCAGGCCGCAGGCTCGAAAATGACATTCCCAGAACAAATGACCATATCTTCACTTCTAAAAGGGGTAAATTAATAATTTTTTTTCTCAAAGCAATGACAAACCTGTGAGTTGGATGTAGAAAAGTCAGAATCAATATAGAATATTTCTATTTTAAAATAAATTCAGATTGAACATAGTAAAAAAATGTCAATTATAGTGTCCGTCAAAAACAAAACAAAAATTACTTATAGTGAAAACCACCCTTGAATGATGGGATCGGAGACTAAAAGCTTTAGGAATCCAAAGGAAAACATATAATAAGTACCCTGTATCAAGATTGTTGCAAAACAAGTGACATTTGACCTTTTTTAGAGAGGTTTAGCAAAAAAACAAACACCTTTGGGGTCATTTGGGTGTATTTGGGTGTATTTACCCTAGAATCGAAGGGGAAGTTCCACATACACACACACACGTTACCATTGAGGAGTGTGACGCGCACGCAGTCAAAAGATATGAAATTTCGCTCAAACTAGTAAATATGAAGATGGATTATCAGTAATCATTTCAAAGTGACACAGACACATTGGATTAACCATTGGATTAAACTTAAGCAGAGTTTTTATCGTTTTGATGCCATTGAACACAACTTTTGATCAGAACAACAGCTAAGGTAAGAATATCTCCGTGTTTCCTCCGTGAAGTGTTGTGATGTCTGTTTTCGCTTCCTCTGTCGCTAGTTCTGATCGCTCAGTGATGATACTTATATGCCTTTGTGGAATCTCAGCTTGCTAATCGATATCTTGTTTGTGCAGATCCGATAAGTAATACGGGTATTTTACCTTGAGTTCTGTGCTAACTGCGTATGCATTTTTTTGCTCAGGGCTAATTCAGAGCTTTTGTTGTTACCCTTATTTCATTTCATTTAAAACCTTTATTTAGACAGATTGGTCCCTTGAGATCATCGATCTCATTTACAAGGGAGACCTGCATCATTTAGTTCCACATGAAACATAAAAACAACAAACAAACAAACAACAGAGGATATCATATTTACATATTCAACATTTACAAATACCCAGAGTGTCAGAAAGCATTTCATTCTTATGTTTTCCGGTACCGGGGGCATGGGGCTTAACTGGTTATTAACTCACCACATGACTGGGCCCAATTCTCTGCCCTCACTAAATTGTATTTACTAATGCTAAAGAGAAGAGGCCCATGTTAAGAGGTCCAGCTGATTTGATTTGAACATGGTACACAATGTTTTTGCAACAGAATATTTTTCAAGGGAAATTCTGCTTATTGCACCGAGGAACCAGCTCATCGAGGTTACCCAGAGGAATTTTTGGAGGAGGATCCAGAAAAAACAGACACAAGTTTTGAAAGCTGAAACTGCGGAGGCTCATACTTCCACTTCTTTCTTATTTTTGTGTTTACAATCACATCCCTTTTTTTGTGATTATATTCAACAAGTTCATGCAAAGTCCTAATAAAATGGGGATTCAATCTAAATTCTGATCCGGTTGGACGATTTTCACAGATTCATGTCAATCAGAAACACGCACGTTATGTTCCTGCTTAGCAATACTTTTTATTATGTTCGGAGAATTTCTGAGTTTGTTTATGGCTGCACGGGGAAAGATCTAAGGGAGAACCAACGTCATTACTGACCTCAATGATTAAAACAAAATGGAAAAACATTTTTTGTATAGCTGCTTACGCGAACCAGAGTTTTTGTTCAGGTTTATGCCAACGACGTTTACTTCCTGACATTGTTTAAACTAACAACTGGAAAAGCAATGCTACATTGAACTAAGCTCGGATGCAATAATTGGAATCTTAGAATGTATCCATTCAATGGCGAATAGAGCACTTTACTATTATTTTCTGTGATATTCCTTTCATTCATTTATAGAAACCACAAGACGCAACCGCTTTAGCTAGAATGACGACTATGTTTTTTGTAGAATGTTTGTATTTGTTGAGGGCCTCACGTTGTTTTGATTTGTACAAAATAAAATGATCGAGGCAACATAGTTTACCTGTGAAAAGCACATCTCCTCCATCCAGTGTGGCGTTCTCATCAGTCATTTCCACGATGTTCAGATTCAATTCCTTCAGAGCTGCTTTCATTGCCTCCGTCTGGAACAACCACAAGGACACAAACAGAAATACACTTAAAACATCTGCTGATATTAAACAAACAACTGTGATGACGTGGAGTAAGCTACACCACTGAATTTCCTCTCTCCAGGATTATTATGATAGGGTTCAGTTTTAATCAGACATCTGTAAACAAGATGATACAAATCAGTCTGAGGATTTACACTGGATTTCTTTAAGGCACAGTGTTTAGCAATACCCAGATTTCTGAGATTGAGTGCGCTGAAACAAAACCTTTTTTTTCTCTAACAGGTTTCGATGACATCACTTAATGAGCCATGAAACTACGTCATTTTGGAGGAAGTACATTAATATTTTTACAAGGCAGGGCCAGTGGAAAATAGGTACGCTGAAGGACCAACACAAACCCTAAAAAAGCCTCTTCCTGTCCTCAGGTTCTGGGTCATCTGTTTTCCATACATTTATAGGAAGGAAGTCAAATGATGGCTGCCACCCGGATAAGATCAACATAAATTATGGAATGCATTCCCAGGATGGAAAATGAAGGGCACACCACATTTCACCTGTATGTCCTCTCGACTGAAATGGAAACCTGAGGATAGGGCAGGTCTTTTTTTGGCTGAACTTTGGCTGGTCTGTTCTCCTGTCTGACCGCACAATGTGATTTTACTGTCCTGTATTTGGGGTTCCTGCGGGAGTAGTTTCCAAGTCCAGTCATGTTAGCGAGAGCATCAGTGTTTCCATAAGCCCTATCTCACTATGACCTCAGCCTCTCCTCATTTGTGGAGGGCCACACCATGAGGTCACTCAGGTAGACTGCGATGCACTTCCCAAAAAGCACAATAAATGCCTGCAAGCGCATAAAGACTACACAACTCTTCTTTAATTATGAACTTATACATTGTGGTTTAATACTTAGTCACAAGTAAGGAATAAGTAACTAGCTATACCTAGTCATTTATATCAAGGCAACACCTCTCTGTATAGTATGATACAGTTTAATAGAAGTACAATCTACATCCTACAAAATGATTTCAAAGTTGACTCAACATCTCTCTAAGACAGTTTGAACAAAAACTGAACATTATAAATATGTAATGTCTGATTTAATCCAAAACTATTGTAAAAGATTGCATTAGTTTAATGTACTAAACTCATAACTGCGATTATGTTCAATAATGACATCTATACAGCAGGTTTTTTTCCTATGACTTTTCCTTTATATAACCATAAACTTTCCAATCAAATCACTTTCAAGAAGACGGACAGTTGAATCCCACAGAATTATCAGTCTTTCCTTTTCAATGTTTCATCTGAAGGAATTCGGCTCATCTTGTTCTTTAAACAGGAAGAACACAACGTCCTTCCAAGTAACCGGGTTCCCGATTCATAAGTGGTCTCTTAAAAGCAACAACGTGCACCATAATGAGTGAAGCTTAGAGGTAATTTCCCCATCAATTTATTTATCCAAAGCCAGGACACCGCTAAGGAACTATCTGCAATTAATGAGTTAAGTTTGTAGGTGTTTTGGGTGGCAAATAAACATTTGAGACTGATTCTGATTAAATAAACAATGTGCTTCTGATGTTTGTTTCTAATGTGTTAGGTATATTAACATTCTTCATTCTTCATGTATGTGCCTATTAGCCATGTTAGTTATTTCACAACAAAGCTTGAGAGCAAAGGCCTAATATTTATTCCCCAGTCCATATCATATTGAGTACAAAACTAAAATACATTTCAGAGAAAGACCTTTCTCAATAATACCACACATAATATACAGACTGTGCTGTCTCCACATTATCAGTCACTGATTGTCCTTTCTTCTTCTGTCTGTTGCACACTGCAGCCTCCACTATCAAAGTAGACGTCTGCCCAAGAATCTGCAGGATTGCATGAAGCAGCTCTTTACCTCAGCTCTCTGGCATTTCCTCTGACATCACTGGAGGTGATGTGACCCAAAGGGTGTTTAGGCCACTCCTTCACCATGGGAAATGTAATGGCCCTTTACATAGACAACAGTGTGATATCTGATCGGTGTGCGTGTGTGGTAGAGAAAATCAATTAGTCCTTAAGCACAGACACAATAAATATGTTGCTTGTGGGTTTGGACTAGTTATTTGGTACACACAGAAGGAGCAAAAAGAGCTAGAAGGAGCTAAACCACATTTTAAAAAAAGATCATGAATTAGTATCATGTCATTCCAAGTTAAGGGAAGATTGAGTGTAGCGAGGTAATGGTCTTGTGTTTACAGTTTGTGAATGGTCCCGCATAGATATAGACTACACAAAGATAAATTACAAACTCAAAATGTTTACAATGAACATTTGCTGAGATTCAGCTCCATTTAGCTGGCTAGCTTTTCACCTGTGCCAAACTCAATTTGGACAGGAAAGGCATCGGGCACGGTTGATAAGAGGAACTTTTGGGCTACCAACAATTTGTTTTGGTAGAATGAACCAACATAAATCGATTTTATATGAAGAGAATTGAATAACTTTGTCTCCAAAGCATGTGTTCAAAGTCCCGAACAATCTAAGTTTCAGACGGCGTAGCAACACTCAAATCTTGAACAAAAATGCTGTGCGTTGCTGAATCTCGTCCCATATGATACTAAGTCTAATGGCTTGAGATTGTGGAATTGTGAAGCATTTATTGAAACAAATGTTCTTTGCGCTGGAAGTATTTAAATGGCCATAAAGGGATGCACCTGCTCAACTGAAAGGTTTCCATTAGCTGTGGTGTTTAAACAATTTTCAGCTGGCACAAACAGGCCTGACATAAGCCAAGACAACCCTCCTGACACAACACACTCCTCCTGACCTCCATTCTTGATGTAGTTAACTGCACATTTGGAAGCTGTCAGTAGCATGTTGTCGCAGAAACACAGATTCATTAAAGAGGAAGTGCATATTTGGCAGGAGTACACATTCTCCCTGCTGTCACACATCCACTTCAAGGTTCAATGAGGCCTTTCGACCGGACATGACCTCCTACAATTATCCAGTCTAAGTCATCAATAAATGTCTGAATAGGTGGATCAAGGCATTTTCCAATAAAGCAGCCAGTGAATGTAACCTCACCTGCATCAGTCTAATAAAACAAATGTGTGTTGATGTTTCTTTCTACTGGCCATAGAGTATTAAGTGCTGTATTCATGATTGAAAAAACAATAAGCTCAAGAAGCTCCCCTTAGAAACACTGCTAATCACAGAAGATTGGGACCGCTATTAAAGTTAATGTTTCCTAATGGCATTTTGCATTTACAGGAGAGTGAATCTATCCCTTGGCTACATACACCAATTGCAGGTCCATCAATCATTAAGTCTGGTATGTCTTAGTCAATCACCTTATCTTGTTTTGTAAAGTTAAAGAGCTCACATAGCTGTATGACGAAGCAGAAATAGAGTAAAGGTTCAATAGACAGGAGGACATTTTCTGCATAGGGTTGTAGTCTTTAGAGGCTTACTTCAACATAATGACTGAATCATTTACTGTATTTGCTTTGTTCTCAAGAATTAGAGACAATTGATGTCAATGTCATGCCTGTACAGTAAGCAATGATAGCAGTGCTTCTAAAAAAGTGACAAACAAATCTTTCAACAGGTGCAGACATGCAGAATACACCATCTTTAGTAACCCTGTCTCTCTTCCTTTCTCTCTTTCTCTCCTCCTTCACTATCTTGATTTCTTGCTTTATCTCTCACATTCCCTTTATTCTCTCTAGACCATCATGGCGGGGTCAAGAATGCTTCTAAGGTGGCTTCTCATGCAGAGTGGCCTATTATCTCTTACCGTTAGGGACATCCAATACCTCACGCTGCCTAGGTGCCAACTCACTTTGCCAGAACCTCCTCTCTTCTCCCTTCTACTTTCTATGCTTCTCTCTTCTTCCCTCCTCTCTCCTCCTTTTCCCCTGAGTGCTTAGCCAGGCGACATGCTGTTAGCCAGCACCCTGCTTTGAATGAAAAAGGCCTTTTAAAATTCATTAGGGGCTAAAGGCTTTGAGATTTAGACAGTCTTCCTGCCACATTCCTGCCGTTCCAGCCCAGGACAGGGAGACGGAGCAGAGAGAACAGCCTTTTATTTGGGGCTTTTTATGGACCCCGTCTCCATTCTCTCGCCCATGGTACCCGTTGATATCGCATTCAGCTAAAAAGGACCATCAGTCTGATAGAGCACGGTGAATTTGGAAAGGGAATAGTTTCCTCAACAATAGCATTCCTGAAGGTCATCGTAGCTTCCCTACACCAGGCAACGAGTCCCACGCTCCGACATAATGGGGACACAGCATTCCTCTGAGCCTCACACGCAAGGAGGTCAGCCTCTTTAAATGACACTTATCAGCTGCAGTTTGTGAGTTTATAAAGTGCATGAATCCAATGGCATATAATGCAAGACAAGGTTGGTAGAGACAACAAAGAGGACATTATGCAAGGATTTGGTCAAAATTGTTAAAGCTCTGTGTACATACAGTAAAGGGATGTTATAAGAGGACTGGGTGGCCCACCAAACATTTGCCATGGCACAAACATTTGTAGACAAATTGCCTGTTTTCCCATCCTGCAGACATGGAACAGCATTTGCATTTGCCTGAGTTTTGCTTCTTGCCACCTGGTAAATATGTGTTCAACCATTTCAGCTCTGTTTTGGTCCCAACCATCCCCTCATATATCCTATGTTTATCAGCTAATTGGTAACAGTGTCTGCCTTTTGGTTTTGAGTAGTGTATGGTAAAGTAGAATAAGGAGAGAGATTTGAAGTGAGCAAGAGTAAACCAAAACAGTTAGGTTAATAATATGATACAAAAACCAATAGACCTGAGATGAAGTGCAGGGTCAGTGATCATTCCCTGCATCATTAAGGACTCAAATCGTAATTTGATCCATTGCTAATAAACAAATGACTCCAGCTTATGGGCTTCTTTGAGAATCTTAAAGTACTCAAAAACAATCTGTCAAAACCGGCATGAGCTGTGTACAAACACAAAACAGGGGCTTTCTTGTATTGACAATGA